CACAATGTGGGTGAATCTCGCAGAGGTAATGTTGAGGGCAGGAAGCCCATAGCCCACTCTTTCCTGGCTTTTCTCTTCTGGGTGCTCCACACATGCCTGCTCCAGGGCGTTCACTGTGATGGGCCCCTCTTCCTTCTCAGCTGCCACTGGGTGCAGGGCCATGGGTCACTCTGCCCCCTCCTCCCCAGGTATCTTCCTGTCTATCCCAGCACCCTGCCAGCCTGCAGCCTCCACAGGGTTCACTGACATCCCCCCTCCTTCTTGGAATCACCCTGACCCTGTTGCCACCCTCATCCTGGCCTCCATGATTTTTCTGAGTGTGACTTTTCTAAGTGTGACTTTGATGTTGAACCTGCCACTTGTTTTCTCGTCTCCTAAAAGGAGAATTTCAAACTTAGGTACAGAACATGTCTTGGTGCCCTCTCCAGTCTCAATTGGTGGCCCCCTTCTCTCCCTCCTCTTCCTATCATCACAATGGCTGTTTGAGTCAATTTCCAATAGGATTTCAGATGAGCACTCAGGCATAGACCATAAAGTGTGCCTTCTCTGTGGGATATTTATGTTTTGGTGTAGGATGTATGAGATCCATTGCCCAAATCACAAGTCCTATCTGTCCTCTAAAGCTATAGACAATAATTTGTTTTCCTCAGAGGGACTGAAAAAATTCTGATGAAAACTTGGCAGCACCCAAGGTAAGGGTGCCTGTGAACTGGTCTAAATGATGGTTAATTTACAGTAAAGGCCCACAGGGACCAGTAGACCTGGCAGATGACTGGAAAACACCATCGTGAAGTATTCTCACTGGTCCCTGCTAGTTTCATATTCCCTGAGACTCTGCCCAGCCCATTGAGGTGTTCTTTTACAAAACTGCATCATCTAAGAGAAGGAAATGAAGGCTGCTTTGTGCTCATTTTGTTGGGATTATTAAACATTTGGCATTTGTGTTATTTCTCTTGTTTGAAGGAAGAGAAACAAGTGCTGGGTAGTCTTGTTGGGACTGTGCCTCGTTTTGATCTGTGAGTTGTGCTCTTCTGAAGGTCAAGAGCTTAGCAAAACATTGTTACAAAAATGCTGTGATTAAGATTCATTTAGAGGAGGTTGGGGGGAAATGTGTCTTAGAAGGTTATCAAGTTATGACTCAGTCTAACCGTGTAAATCTTTACAAAAAAAGTAGCTGGTGTTTCACAAAAAGCTCCATTTAGAAATCTGCTGTTCTCCCCAGAAAATTTATGTTATAAATAGATTAAAAAGAAAAACCTGACATTTTGGAAGCTCAAAAGTATAGTGATGGGATATTTATTCTATAAGATTATCAAAGATTTTGTAAGCTAATTTGGAGTTGTGGGGTGGATGTATTTTATATATGCCAAAATAGGGAGTTTTGTGGTTAAATTATCTGCCCTGCTTGCTAATATCTTCTTATTCTTCTCTCTAGATCAGTGGCTGTCAAGTTTGAGAATGCATCAGAATTACAGAGGGCTTGTTAAAACCTAAATTGCCCCCAGGGATTCTGATTCTGTCTGTAGTTCTGAAATTGTCTTTCTAACTGTTTCCATGTAATATTGATGCTGCTGGTCTGGGACCACAGTTTGAGAACCACCATTCTAGATCATTGTAAATCTGGCTGCTCATTAAAATTACCTAGGGGAGCTTTCAAACTACCCAGTGCTTGGCCATGCCAGATAAATTGAACCAGGATGTCTCTCTTGGGGAATACTGGGCAGAGAACGTTTCAGAAGCAACTCAGGTGATGCTGACGTGTAGTCAGGGTTGAGAATCTTTGTTCCAGCAAAACTGACTCCTACACCAAAGATCATGATACCAGAGCAGTTAGCAGCTGGTGGCGGGGTGCTTGTTGAACTGCAGGCTCCAGTGCCCTCTGTCTGGCCAGCTCAGGCTGCAGGGTGGCGTGCTCCCACGTGAGGGAGTATCAGTTTCTGTATCAGAGCCGGTTTGAAGTCTGTGCTATCGGCAAGATTACAAAAGGTTCTCTGGGAGTTTTCTTCTGCCTGATAACTGGGAAAGCAGCCTGAGTCAGAACAGGTTCACACTGTACTTTGGCATGTGATAGCTAGCTAGTCTGAGGGACAATGAATCATTTTAGATTTTTAAAAGAAAGGCAGGAAATAAATAGTTTTTATTGCTTTCCCCGATACTTTCTTATTTAATCCCCAAACAGCAACCAGATCAAGGTTAGTAGAATTATCTGCATTTTTACAGATGAGTTCACTTAACTAAGGAGAACTTCCCAAGGTCACAGGGAAGTGGCAGAGCTGTGATTTGAGCTTGGGGCTGTCTGACTCCAAAGGCAAGGGCCCCTGCCACATCACCACTTTTGCAAAATTCATCTCGTGCTCCAGAAACATAGATATTATGCAAGACTGACTACATAGTTTTTGAGTCCCAGTGTAAAAGGAAACCATGGGGCCTCTTGTTAAAAAACTGTTGGGGATTCACGAAGACAGCCCAGAGCATCAAACCAGATGTGAGGCCCTGTGTGACTGCACAGGTCATCCACCCGTGAAGCCAGCTCTGATGTTACGTGTTAATCTGCACAGACTGCATATCAAACACTTTGAGCAAATAGGAAGGTCTGCTCAGAGGCACTCTGGTGGGAAGGTAGGAGCCCCAGGTCTGAGCCTGGAGCTTCTGGATTGTAGTAATAGCCCTGTGCATAACTTTGTGTTATTCCTGTTGACCTTGAGCATGGTACTTAACCTCTTGGAGGTCCAGTTTACTTTTCTATAAAATTGAGAGAGGGAGAAGTGGGGAAGTGGTGGACCATGTCAGTGTTTCTCAAACTCTGATATATTTCATTTTTATACCACATTTTTAGTACAGTTGCTGTGATCGTGGACTCTGGACCACACCACCTGAGTTCTAATTTGGTTTTGCTATATTCTAACTGTGTGGCCTCAGTCAAGGGCCTCAGTTTCTTCATCTGTAAAATGGAGATGTTGTGAGGGTTAAATAAGTTAATATATGCAAAGCCCTTGGAACGATGGCTGCTATATAATGAGTGCTATAGTATTAATGATTACTTTGATTCATATGGCACCTGTACGAGCACTAATATTTTTTCTTTAATTTGATTCACTTTTAAAATTTAAAAATAATCGCTAGATTCATGTGAGTGTGCATATTTTTCTAGTATATGTGAAAGAGTATAATAACTATATTTTAAAAAGTTCATTCATATACTGTCTCAAATCAGTCCAGATACTAACAATGGAATGGTCACCACCCTGTGGGTAACATTGTGCTAGATGTTGAAGGCTTCTTCTAGTCTAAATAGTCCAGGAGCAGATGAATAAATGCATGTGTATTTGTATCTGTGCCTTCACTCATTTGACAAATACATGACTCTAATATTTCCACTCACTTCATTTTCTACCCATAGAGGAATATTCCTATTGTTTAGCTTCTTGTTCCAGTGAAAAAAATGTTTAAACAGAAAAGAGGGATTGTGAATAAATCATATAAATGCTTTGAACTTTGACGAGTCAGTGGGGTCCTTTCAAGAGATCCCTTAAAGACTAACAAGGGATGAGGCTTAGAGTAGTGAAAAATTGGTACAAAATACTTACAGGAAGGCATAGTATGGCCTTCAGAGGTGAAGAATTTGCTGGGAGACATAGGCCCTTTCCTTTGAGTACCATGTTCCCCTTACTTCCCCCTACCTAAATCTTATCTTATAGGCTCAGTTCAAATTCTACCTCCTCAAAGGCCTTTCTGGCTATTCTGGCTGGAAGTTTCCTTTTTCTCATCTGAAGGGTGCTTTGTAATCATAGAGAAGTGTTGTTAAGCACGAGCTGTGTTCCAGGCACAGTGGTCACCATGCTGAACACCCATATCCCTGACCTCAAGGAGTTGGTAGGCTACAACTCAGTGCGTCTGTACTGCCAATTCATGTGTATTTGTCTTGCCTCCCTTAAGGCAGGGTTACTTATTCCTTGCTCTTATATTCCTCAAAGCACCTAAGGACCCTCTTTAACTAAGTATTTGTTATTGGAGATTCCAGGGAAATACAAAAATAGTAACTAAGGAAATTTAAAATTAGTCTTCCCTTAAACATCCCTCTCAAGTTATCAAGAGCACCAATCCCCAGACATTTCATTAACATCAGTGATTGTCATATATGATAAACATGTAATGAGAATATAATATAAATTGATCCCCAAGGGAAACTAGAAATCTTGGGAAAGATACAGGACTTCCTGAAGGCAATGAAAGTGAGTTTAGAGAAAGCAACTGTCATTCACTCAAAGCTGTGGACGTTGAGGACCTGGCAGAGTCCTACCAGTTATCAGCAGAAGAAGAGAAAATCAACAAGGATGATGTTGTGATGGGTACTTCCCAACAGAATAACTGGAATATCAAAGGATGAAGAAAGACCTTGGGAAAAGTGAAAAACTCGAATATTTTGTGAAAGTCAATAAAAAGTGAGGGCTGTTAAATGGTGCCATAATGTAATTTTGTCAAAAAATTGTGCCAAAAGCCCCATACTTATCTCATACTTTGCTCATTTAAAAATATGGCATGATTGCTATTTTAATTTAATTTTGTCAAATGCAAGATAAATACAATTTTTCATAATTTTTAGTTTGTCATAATTTTTAGTTTCTATAGATTCCAATCAGCCTTTCCCACCCTCACTTTTATATGTTATTTTTGTCCTTTTTAAAAAATATGGATTCATTTTTAAGTGGACTTTTTATAGTACTAATTATCCACAAGGAGAATGTCCAGCAATAGTATAACAGTATTCAGTGAAGTAATGGATTGATCAGTATCATTCTTCAGAACCAACAACCAAGATCATAACAGGCAGAAAGGGCACAATTGGCTCTTTTGACTCTGAAGCAGAAAGGAAAGATCCACAAAATCAGCAAGATTTCTCTTGGAATGGAGATGCCCAGTCCAGCTAGGAGGTGATTTTGGGATAAGCCTGTTTATGGCCTTAAAAGGGAATGCTCAAGGTTCCAAGGGAAGTTGCTTACCCACAAAGCACCAGACTGCAAACCGGATCCATGTGATGGTGGAGAGCTTTAGCATGAGATATATGTTCACCAGCATGGCAAAGGCAGGCACAAAGGGGAGACAAGGGGCCATGTAGGGCAGCTTCTTGGGGTTCTCTGGCTGCTGCAGGATCACAAACACCAGAGCGCTGATCAGCAGCACCATCAGAACAACCAGAAGGATGGCCCACCAGCTCTTCTCTGAGATGTAGTCGGAACCAAAGATGATGAAGGAGCAGAAGATGAACATGAGGATGAAGAGCAGGAGCACACAGACAGTCACTGTGTGCCCCGTGGCTGCTGTGGGCCGGTCCATCTTGCCTGGAAGGCCCAGCCGAATCCTCATGGTGTAGTAACGGGGCCCAATAAGCTTCTTTAACTTGATGAGATAAATATTTTCAGATTCGTCAGCTTCTATGCCTGTGGTCATGTCCACGGTGCCGTAGTTGGGGTGGTTGACGTTGTAGGTTGATTTGTCTGATTTCCCGATGAGCATCTCATTGTCTCCCAAAGATGGTAAGTTCTTGGCTCCACATGTGTTGGTGGCTGGGCCGGAAAATTCTTCCCCTTCACTCACAGGAGAACAAACTTCCTTCTCACAGTCAGCCAGAATGCCCTCCTTCTTCTTTGTGTGCTCCTCAGACAAGAACTTGACAAAGCCATCAATGTCACTCTCTGGTTGGTATCGAAGGAGCAAGACGCAGACAGAGACCAAAGTGTAGGCGAGGAGAGTGCCGATGGACATCATCTCAATCAAGTCTCTCAGGCTGACTAATAGGGAGAGAAGGGCTGCCAGGAACCCTGACACGATGCAGGCCACCACTGGGGTCTCTGTGTAGGAGCTCACATGAGCCAGGAACCTGGAGGGAGAGGGAAGCAGAAGGTTAACAGTGGGCTATGCACAGTGATAGATTCAGCATGGCTTAACACCCCCTGGTCCTGCTTCTCCAGTTTACTTCTGGACCCACTGCTTTAAGTCAGCTGCTATTCCTACCCCAGGCTTTGGTTCCTGGAATATAATTTAAAGAGAATTCCCTTTAATTCCTTGGTTTTGAGACAGACTTCTTTATTAAAGTTCCTACTTCATTATGTAGTATGACAGATTGATTGATTCTAGGAGGTATTTCAGAAATCTAAATTGAAGCCCAGGCTTTGCTCTGAAAAAAGGGTAGTTGGAGAAGTCATACAGTTGCTTGGAGGTCCTCTATACCTGTGTTACCCAAAAGTGTGGTCCACAGATCAGCAGCGTCAGCATCACCTTGGAGCTTGTTAGAGATAGGTATTTTCAGTGATTGTTGCTACTATTAGGTTCTGTTCAGAGGGTTTTATTCTCTCTTTGATTGTAACTTCGAACTTTTTCAACTTCAGAGGGACAGTTACCAGGCTTCAATGTGAGTGCAAGCCTCAGATACCCCTGGGATGGGTTCTTCCTTCTGGAGGCCACCCAGTGTAGCATTTTGGTACCCATCATCTTTACAGAGGAGCACACGATGTCAAATAAGAGGGAAGGGGGTAGTTGGGAGAACATATCAGGTGTGCTACATAGAAGGACCCAGAATCAAACTGAGAGGCTGTTTTAGGACCTAAGCTAATTTCACTCAAATTCTTTGCGAAGACATTTGACAAGTCCCATGGTCTATGTGACAGACACTCACATGAAAATTATAGTCCGCTGACAGTGGGTAACAGTCCCTGGACAGGGATGGAAGAATAGAATAAATGTCATGGAGCATAGCCCTTACCTGAAAAGGAGCCCATCACCAGCCATGGCATAAATGACCCTCGGCATTGGGAAGAGGGAGCCCAGCAAGCTGACTGTCAGTCCTGCAACTGACCCGATGGCCACTACGAATTTTGCAGCATAGAACCCGTGAGCCACAAACATCTCCATGAGTGGGGATTCTGTGTCAATGGCGTAATATGGCACCATCAGAGTTAAGATCATGCTCACCTGTTAAAACAAGAGGAAACATGGCGGGAGGTGGAGAGGACTGAAGCATGGATGGGTGTCCCATAGGAGAGGAAAGAGGCCTGCACTGGAGCTTGGATCTGCCACTTCTTGGCACCTGCCTTTACTTTAGAACAGTTATTTGGCCTCTGGAGCTCTTGGTCTCAGTATTTTCTCCCCACATGTGAATCTAGTGGGTTGGGCCAGGTGATTACTAATATCTCTCTCTGGCCCTTTCACATCTGAGGAATAAATCTGCAGGTGTTTCAGCTTCACGAAAGCAGAGCTACACTGAGGGTTCAAGTAGATATTATCAGGTAGGAGGAGCTGCAGCCAAAGGCAGTGCAGCCAGGACCTGGCAGTGACCTCGAGCACCTTGCCCACATGGACAAGACTCGTTTCTTTTGCACTTTCAGGGTCCCATGGGGTCTTATCCATACTACTTCTTACCCCAAAGGCCAGAGATCAAAACTCTGAAGATAAGTGCATAGTAGGGCCACAGCTGATTAACTGATGGGACTCATATTTCCATTCCCTCTCTGTAGCTCCGTCCCAGGAACCAGGCAGGCGAAGAAACAAATTATGGCATCAGGATGGAATCCAGTTCTACTCTGGGCTACAACACCACTATGGCTTTGCTTAATCAGGGCCTATTTCTCTTCATATTTCATAGATCTGCCATAACAACCCTCCCTTCATAATTGGCTCCAGGCAATGGAACCACCAGTCGTAAGGCCAGGTGCCCCCCAACCCTGGCCTGTGAAGGCCAATGCTGGCATCACAAAGGGAGTCTAGAGCTTGAAAAGGAGAGAGTGGTTCATTTCTAGATCACTTCTTTGCCTATATTCTCAAAAGCCAAGATCCTCCAGTGAAGCCATGGACCACTGGGGAGGATGGCATGGACTGCCACAGGCAGCACTGTGGCTCTCCTGGTGGTAGAGTGGCAGCCTGCTGACCAACATGAGACCTGATCACTGCACGACATGGTTGTGGCCCATATATTCTGAAAGGGAATCTGTCCCAGCAACGCCACCACTTGCAACGTCGCCTTTGGGGATGTTGAGGGGTACACTGGAGGAGAGTGGGATTGATTCTTACAGCAATTCTCATTGGGTCTCTTGCCTGCGTTAGATTAGGATGGGCCAAAATTTGGGTGCAGAGACTACTCTAGTGTATAGAGCACTATTCTAGGGAAGGAATTGCGATTATTAACGTCACTGTGTGTGCTGCAGTGCTTGACCCCTGCAGGAGGGGGTGTATGAGGGAGGAACAGCAGGGGAAATGCAGAAGAGAGTGTCTCTGCTGCCCCCAGCCCAGCTGTTCCTGATCACAGTCTGCAGAGAGAATCAGGGGTGGACGAGATGAAGCCGGGTGCATGTGTGCATGGGGAGGTGATAACTGACCTGGCCGGGAACGTGGCCGGCGGCCTGCATGCAGCACTGCTCTCGTGTTTTTCTGTTGGCTTCCAGGACAGTCCTGTTTGGCAGCTTGCCTTAGTGGTCCACTGGCCTGGCTTCTGCAGGCTGTTGCTAAAGTTTTTTTTTTTTTGGCGGGGCTGAGGCGGATGTGCAGGGTGGGAAGGAGATTCTTGCCGCAGGAACAGCAGGGCTGATAGGGCGCACCCTGGCTGGTGACTCTTTCCTAACTGTGGTGACTGAATGGGTGGGACCCCCAGGACTTGGGGGATTTGTGTGACCACACTCCTGTTGGCTTACCAGCTGGTTCTTGCTGTTGCCAGGGGCCGAGGGGATGTTGGATGGGGCCGAACTATTTCTGTGAGAGATTCTGGGGTGGGACCTGTGAGATGACACATCAGAAGTGTGAGGAGTGTCTCAGGGGCGTGATCCTGAGGAGACAAGCCTGGAGGGTTCATTCTGAGGACTTCCCTGAGCAGGGAAACCTGAAGGGGTGAGCTTGAGCCAGTGTAAACAGATGGAGCAAGAGCAGAAAGACATTGCATTCCCCTGCCCCCTCCTAGACTTAGGGGAAGAGCACCTCTAGAGGACGATGTGTTCCCTTCCTCCACTTTGGGAAAGCCTCGCCTCTTTGCTGCTGGGAAGCTCCCAGAAGACAGAGGAGCATTGAGGAAGGTGCACAGAGGCCCACAATGCCTCTGCTCGCACACCCACCCGTTACTGCCAGCCTATGATCTGAGCTCCTTGGACGGCAGCCCACTCCCTGCACACTATTCCCTGGGCAGCAGCTGACACCAGGAGCCTGTGCAGAGGGAGGAGCAGGGGTGCAGGCCCTGGCTGAAGTGAGGGCCTGGGGCTTCTCCTGTCTCCAGTTTGGAGCCCTGATTTTCTTCTTGTCCTCGGCGGGTGGGGTGAGCTTGAGCCAGTGTAAAAAGAGGGAGCAACACGAAACATATGCATACAAACACCAAGAAGGCACAAGGAAAGGATTACTTCCTGACAGAAGGAAACCCAGCCCCAGAGTCACGTTTTAAGGTCAGATATGAAAAGACCATGAGGAGGGCCCCATAAGCATTTGGTACTTACGGACACATAGGCTGTCAGGCAGATGATGAGGGAGGCGGTGATAGCGTACGGGATGGATGTGTTGGGATTCTTGGCCTCCTCTCCGGTGGTGGCAATGATGTCAAAGCCAATGAAAGCATAGAAACATGTGGCTGCTCCTTGCATCACCTGTAGGGATGAAGACATTTGTCACACTCAGTGTCAGGGCAGCACCAGCGCCTAACATGTGGTGCCTACAGTTGCCCAGTGCCCGGCAGACACTACTGAGTGGCAGAGGGGTTAACATGGTGGGACTTGTGCTAAACGCTTGAGTTCTCATCGCTACTGTCTAGCTGTGTGACTCTGGGAAGTTCCCTCATGTGTAAAATGAAGATAAGGATTATAGCCAAATAAAACTAGGTCACTCAACACATTCAAATCAGTTTTGGAAATAAGCAGGGTTATGAATAAATAAGTTGGCTATCCCTACATCTTAGGAACTCATTAACTTCTTTGTGCTTTGTTTTCATTCTGTGGTTCTCAACCACAATCACAGGCTGTATGACTACCCCTAGGGAGTGTTTGGAAATGTGGGGAGGTTCCTGTGACTGTCACAGAGACATGAGGTGGGTGCTTCTGGCATTTAGTGTAGGAGACTCAGATGCTTTTGCACAAACTATCCTACCCAGATTACTGTTAGTGACCCTGGTCCATCGTCTCCGTGGCAACTTTCAGATCTGAAATTGTATAAAAGGTTTTCTGATCTTCAGACATTCTGTTGTCTTCCATGGGAAGACCGGTAGAGATGATTTGATTTTCCTGCTCTTTTTGGGGCCTTGAGTGACCTAGTTGGGCTATAAGGCAGGGGAGGAGATGAGGAGTGAGGCCGTGTGAAGCTGGGGAATGGTATCCAGTGACCTCTGCTGGATGTCTATCTCACAGGAGCCCATGTGATTCCAAGGATGGTTGGGACTTGACAAGTCAAGAAGTCAGTGAAAATCTTTCACTGAGGAGTCTGTGACTTTCTCCCAAAGAATCTGTTGAAGTTTAAATTATGTTTCCCCCAGTTAGCATTCTCATTATCAGCTGAAAGTAAGAAATGTGCCTCTTTGAATGCTTGGGGATGTCATTCTAGGGTAAGATGAGAGAGATTTTTCTGGGCTTGTGTTTATGGGGTGAGGGGACTTGGCAATATGCAAGCTCTAGCCAGGGGTCCGGGAGTGAGGCTCCTTATGGACTGGACCATTTTTTTCCTTTTCTCTGTATTTAGCTTATAAAGGATAAAATTGTAAACATGTGCCAAGCAGAAACCAGTCCCTAAATTTTCACTCTTACCTTTCCCACTGACTTCTCAATAAGTAAAAGACAGAATACTCAGAACTAGAACCTGCAAGGTCATCACAAAATGGAAGGGCATCTCAAACTTCCCAAAGCAACCTTTGCCCGTCTGTAAAATGAGTTAGTTTCTTCTATAGTCTTTCCCATTAGGACTCTAATGTTTCAGTTCTTTAACTGGTGGTTCTCATTCTGGGGTCCACACAATTTGAGGGGGTCTCAGAATTTTGCTGAGAAAAATTATCTTTTTATTTTCATTAACTTTCACCTGAAGGTTATCATTTCTTTCAGTTATAAGTGTAGGTGACAAACTAACAGAACCTGTGACTTTGTCACCAATAACAATCAGTTTCCCATGATGTTAGTTGTTGCAGACATCTTGAAATACCACTTGTGCTCATTGCTCCTTCCAATTTATGACGGTTATTAGATATAGATATTAATCTTTAAAGCACTAATAAAGAAACACATTGTTATATCACAATTTAAAAATGTTTTTACAACTATTTTTCAGTACACAGTTAACCCTTGAACAACGTGGGGGTTGGGGTGCCGACCCCAGCATGGTCGAAAATTCACTTATAGTGCCCCTCTGTATCCATGGTTCCTCCATGTACTCAGTTCCTCTGTATATGTGATTCTGTATCTGTGGATTCAACCAACCCCTGACCAGTGAAGTACCATAGTATTTATTATTTTAAAAAATCCACTCAAGTGAAACAGCTCAGTTCAAACTCGTGTTGTTCATGGGTCAACTGTAATGGATTTCTTTGAAACTCCTATGTAATTAGGTTATTCATTTATAAACACAGTCATCAAAAGGGGGTGCATAGGCTTCACCAGGCTGTCGAGGAATCCACAGCATACACGCACAAAAAGTATCTGTGAATGCCTTATCTATTCTAATAACTCAGGCAGAAAGAACTTCTCAAACCAGCAGTTGACACCAGAGGGCTACTTTCTGGGAGAGGTGATAACCCCCAATTTCACTCCAGTGAAGTCCTTCACTTTAGGACTTGGGAAGTGTCTTTGATCTCTAGACAAGGAGATCAAACAGATCTCACCTTATTGTACACGGAGGTTCACAGATTTGGAAACGTGCTTGTTCTCATTTGTCTAAAAGATGTTTCTGATGTTCAAGGATGAATGGATTCTGGGGTTCCAGGCTCGCTAAGCAGCCACAATCAAGAAAAGCCTTGCTTAAAGACAGCTTTCAGAATACAGGTCCTGCTTTCTCTTCCTTTAGCATCTTTCTTCCCTTAAACACATACACACACATACACACAACTCTTGTAAATCATATAGTGACCTTTTATGACAATCAGTCTGATGATGCATTGCTCCCAATTAGGACATCCCAGGTCTACAGTGCCATGCCAACTTGGTGTGATCAGTTCTGGATGGAAAGGTCATTGACACTAGAAGAGGTCCCTGCTGAGGACAGAAGGGTGGGGAGGTGCTAAATAAGAACTTAGGGCCAAGCTACCCTAGAAAAAAGTGAGAAGTCTGTAAACCATGCCATATGAAGAATAACTGAACAGTTGGGGATATCTAACTTGAAGAGAAGACTCAGTGGAAGATGCCTCCAGACAGAATTGGAGGGACACTTTCCAGTTTTGAAGTATGGACTATGTAGCAGCTGGAGGAGAGGTACACTGTAGGCTGCAGAAGGAATCCCATAGCCATGCATATGGGTGGGATAGGATTTGGTTAGGAGTGCAGATTTTGTAGACTGTCAGACCTAGGCTGGTTCTGTCACATACTAGTTTGGTGACCTAGAACAAATTCCTCACCCCTTGAGATCTCATTTCCTTTATCACTTATATGGAGATAAAAATCCTATTTATTTAACTCATTGGATTGTTACAAGGATTAAATGAGATAATATACTCAACCACAGTCATAGAATACAGTTGGTACTTATAAATATTGCTCTTATTGGCAATATTTTTATTACTGTTGTAAGTTTTTCTAGAACAGATGAACCTAAGGGCACAAACAGATTCCTCCTCTTCTTCCTCCTCCTTATTACTTCTCTTTTAAAGTTCACACGCATTTTATCAACTGCTTCCATGAACCAGGAACTGTACTTGGTGATGTGGATACAGTCAAATGCAAAAGTACTCTGGACTTGACCCGCTGGGGCTTGGAGCCTAGAGGACATTGCAGGACTCAAAATGTAACCTCGACTGTGGTAACAGGCTGAACAGGATTAATAGAGACTATGTATTTGTAAAACACAGACGCTACTATTTCCCAAATGAGTGAAAGAACAGATGGCAATCACTGATAATGATTAGATACCAGAAACTTAACTATGGTCAAGTTGGGAAGAGAGAGAATAAGTTTTGGAAGAGAAAGAATAAGTTTGCAAAGAGAATGTCTGTTAGCTTGAATTTGCTTATGTAGAGCTCGAAAGCAATTGAGGCTGAAGAATGACTGAACAGATGTCAAAGAGCTAGAGGTTCTGTGATAGGCAGAACACGAAGTTTCACTTGGATGGTGCAGATGAAATGGTTTCAGTGAAGGGGCTCTAGGAGGCAGGCCAGGAGGGCCTGAGGAAGAAATACCTCTGCCTCGTTTTCTCACCTTCTGATCTCCTGGTGATGCCTCCCACTGGCTAAGCCCAACAGGAAGCAACCAGCAAGGGGTCTTCTGGGGGACAGAACAGAGCCTGAGGGGTAGAGAGCGGGTGGAAGAAATGGAGGAAAACCAGCACACCTGCCAAGATCAAACAGACCCTGGCCTAATGAGATACAGATTAAATAAACAGATTATCAAAGAGAAGATAATACAATCAGCAAATAGGCTCACCTTTTTACTGAAGTTAGTTTGAATGAGTTTTTCTTGCAAGCAAATGATCCCTGACTGGTAACTACAAAAGAACCATGAAATGAAACTGTGTATGGGTGTGTCTCTACCCAAATAACCACTGACACTGCTTTCACTTCACCTTTTCCAGATCGCAGATCTGGCCTCTAGCATTTATGATTACGATACCTTTCCATGCCTGAAAGAACGTGTGGTACCAAGGGGTGAGCATCTGTGAATAAAAGCGGTGGGTGAAGTGTGTGTGCATGTGTGTATGTATTTCTGGGTATGTCGGTACTTTATCCTAACTTTCCTTTAATGTTTTATGTAAATAAAAAACAGTATTGATTTTCTAATTTGGTGACATAAATGGCAATTGTATTCCAAAATCAACCTGGTAGCTGCTCAGCCGGTGATCCAGGTCTGTCCTCCTCTCTACAGAGCTTTGTGGGGAAGCAGCTCGTGTCTCAGTTGCTGGAGGGCTGCTGCTTAATTAGTTGTCAAAAGAATGTCATTTGTGGCCTGCTACTCAGTGTCTGGAATCCCTAAAAGCTGTCCCCTGTGCCTTGCTGATGTTTGAGAGGTATTAGGGTGAGGCAGCTCTCCATATTCTGCCGTGGTGGGTCTGCCAGATGCCTAGGAAAAAATTAGGCACTTTTATGTAATTCACTCCCCAGGTAACAAGACAAAACTCCAACTTTAACAGCATTTCCTACCACTCTTATTCTCCAGATCTATTAGCAGCCTGTCCACAGGGACAGTGGAATGTGCTAATAGGTTCCAACAAGTGGATTCAAATGTGGAGACGTGGAAAACAACTTTTCCTTTGTTTGGAGGCTGTCAGCATTCCCCACAAATACTTGCTCTGAACTGTTTTCCTGGGAGCTATTTGTGCTGGTGGAGAGTCTTGTTTGGTTAAAGAGAAGCCGTAAGATAGCATCAAGAACAAATAACGTACAGCGAACACACATCCAGCAATGTTCAGGGGCTGAGGAATTGCAGATGGAAGCAGGGGTTCAGCCGAGGGCCAGCAGTTACTTGATACAGGGGAGAAAATGTTTGTTGTTCTTAAGCTCTTCAAGACCAAAGAAGCATTTGACCCAGAACCTGTAAGTGAGTAAACCATTCCTTAAGCTATTTTCTTTGGAAGGACGTGGTTGGAGCAGTGAAAGAGTAGGTTTCTGAGGGGTCCATGGCCAGAGGACAGATTGCTCATTAACTCTTTCAAAGTCCTTGAGACTTGTGTTTCAAGCCATGTCACAGTGTCCTTATAAACCATTCCCTCCACAGTGGTTCCCTCCATCCCATACTACCTGAAGGGGTTGAAGAATAAAGTGGGCTGGAACTCTGAACTGGTCCCCTTGCCAGGTAGGGGTCAGGTTTTCCCTCAGGAGTGAAGTTCACGCAGCTGCCAAGTAGACAACTCACTTTTGTTGACAATTATTCGATAACAGAGTAGGGAGTGTGTTTGTTCACTTGGTGGAGGGCATGCTCATGAGAAGGTGTCAGACCTTAAAAAATAGCATCTGTATTCAAAGTGGCCTTGCTAGACTGGAAAATTGACCTGGAACCAAAGCTGAGAAAGAACAGGTCTAGGCAGTTTGCTGGGGAGGAAATGTACACTGCAGAGATCCAAGGCCAGGCAGATAGCAGACAGGATGAGTCAGCATCATCTTCCCACTGGGCTGTCCTTTGTGCTCAGATGATGTTTTTAGTCACAGCCACTGGGACATATATTTGAATTTCCTGCAGGGAAAATGGATTGGCAAAAAATAATCCAAAATCTCAGCCAGCTTTTTGGGTGGCCAATGACAAGCCTCCTCCAGGTAGTAGGCTTGGGTTGGAGTGAGGTCAGTGGCCAAAGGTGCAGAAAAAGACAGTTGGTCCCACATATCCAAACCCAGGGGTAGAGGAATAAATAGAGACTTTTGCTCATCCAAGACTGGCATTGAATTTCAACTCTATTATGATCTAGATCTGTGACTTAACTTTTCTAAACTTCAGTTATTTTGATGTACACCTGGAGATCATTGTACTTGTCTTGCAGGGCTGTGGTGAAGATTAAATGAAAAGTGTATATGAAAGAGTGTGTCATAAGGAAGACCGTGTTAGGGATGGTATCCTTCCTTTCTTTTTTATGCCTGATTTCTGATCTTCTTCTCTTGCTGCAGAAGTTAGTGAGAACCTGGAATTGGGTAGATGAGGACCCCTTAAGCTCAGCTTGATCAGCTCCTTCCTTAATGAGGCAGCTCCCGACTGAGTGAAGATGTGAAGCCCCCGAGGAGGAGAGGAGACCTGTAAGGGGAATAAAGACCCCAGAACAAAGAACAAAGGGAGAGTCTCAAAGACTTGCTCATCTTCGTCAGCGTGGGCAGAGGGCGTTCACACAGAGCACATTAGCTCTTCTAGTCTTCACATGGGGCCTAGACTGCAGTTTGTACCATTTAAATAGGCTTGTTAGGAAAAGTCTGAAAATTAAACATGATCTGAGTAATTAAAAAAAGTTTTCAAATTGCTCTAATATGATGTGTCAGTAAACAATGCACGTTTGCCCTGAGTCAGCTTAACTATACTCCCATCTGATAAAAGCCTAGACCATCCATTGCTTTAATGTTTCTCCCAGCTCCCATACTCTAAGACTTTGTGAAGGCTTGAAGGAAATGAAAATGAAACCTGTCAGATTAATTACCATATTATTTTTTTTTTTTTTAAAGAAAGGCTCAGAAAGAAGGGGTCATCATACACGAGGCTCTCAATGTAGTAGAAGGGGCTTTAGAGCCATATATACAGCTGAGTGGGGATTTCAGTCCTGGCACCGACTAGCTAAGTGACTTCAGGCAAGTTATCCAGCCTCTCTGAGCCTTGGATTCTCCATCTGTAAGTTGGGGATAGCAGCACCTTCTGTGAAGTTTTGATATCCATGGAGTACAAAGCTGGGCACCCAGCAGGTATGGACGAATGCGAGCTCCTTACTCCCAACGTGATCGCTATTGCAAACCACACAATGTGCACATGAAAACATCTAAGATTTTATTCTTTTTTTTCCAAACATTTGGTGCAATTAGTTTTATCACTTGATAGATGAGGAAACCTGAAAGCACAGAAGTTAACTGTTGGCCAAAGTCTTACAGTAAGTCCATGACCCAGAAATTTTTACATTGTTAAGAAAATGGTGAGAACATTTTCGTGTGCTATGATGAAAATGCAACTGAGTTTTGGGAAAACATTCTTTCTTTATCAGTCTTATAATTTGTTGTTTCTCTTATTTGATAGGAAAGGAACAATTTGTATCGTAAAAAAATACAGACTTGGGAACCCAGAATGGGGTCATCAACAGTGTTTCTTTGTCTCTGCTTCTGGTTCTAACCAGTTTCAGGATTTATTCATTTTCATAGAGGAGGGATGAACTCCGTGGTCCTGTGGAATTCTTACAGATAAGCGGAAGACTAGGAATCTTGGCTTAAATTGCTTCCTTGTTTTCTTTCTCTGCATTGAACAGTGTGGCATAGTTTAAAATACACAGAAGTTACTTTGAGTGTTCTCCAAAAGTGATTTCTGGTCCCTGGACCTCTTCGAGAAAAACCAGCCTAAGCAAAAGCTACAAAAGCAAGACTGGTGAAATCCTGCATGGGCTTCTGTCATGGATCCTGGGAGGCTTTGCATCTCTTGGTCTCAGTTTCTTTACCTGTTAAATGAGGGCATGGGACCAGGTGACCTAAGATCCCTTCTAGCTCAAAATTCTCTGATTTATGTTCTACTGTTAAAAAAAAAAAGAATGAGCTGGTGAATATTACCAATAAACCCATAAAGTAAGAATCTTAGTCATACTAGGGAAAGAATCCGGGTACAACTTAGAACTAGTACTCATTAGCATAGAGAATTTCCGCTCTGACCTTCCCATTTTTCTTTAGCAGAAACCACACCACCCGATCACAGGGATGAGACTGAAAATATCCTTTTGGTTCAGCACACTCTCTCGCCAACCCCCAGACCACACCAGGTGGACTTCTCTGCTGTAGACCACAGCACTGTAATGGGATCTATACCCAGTGCTCACTCGGCCTGCTCACCTGCCCTCTGACTGCAGTGGGACTCCCCACCTTGGGTCAAACGTTGAGATTAGATTTAAAAACTGTTTTTTTCATAGCTCCATTCCCAAGCAACATTCATCCCTTCCTCACCCGTCCACTGACCCGGCATCCTATACTGCGTTGTCTATTTATGGACTGTCTGTCCCTCTGAATAGACTGTAGAGAGATTCTATATGACTGAGCAGTTCATGTACAGGCTTTGGAGTCAGACAGTTGTGGCATTGGGTCCTGACTTGGGCACTTATGCTGTGTGTTTAATAGCAAGTCATTTGACCTCTCTGAGGGTGAGTTTTTTCCTCTGTAAGACTATAATGTAAATATTTTCCTTGTGCAGTTATTAGGAAGATTAAATGAGGTATTATATGCAGAGCACCTACTGTAGTATTAGGCATATGGCAAGTGACAAATACTTCAAATTTGTATAAAATAAGATCTCAAGGAATGTTTGTGAAACAAACAAATAAATTTAAAAAGAACCACTTCTTTGGGACATTCCAATTAAATTCAGATAAAAGGTGTTGGAGAGGGTGCCATGAAGGTGATGAGACAAGCAGCATTTTCTTGAAAATATGTCTTAGATTAGTCACAGGGTGGAAGGCAGAGCGTGCATCAGGTACACCAGGATTTAGGAATGGACTCACCCCTGACCAGCCGTGGGGCAAGAACTGGCCTCCAGCCCAGTGCTTCCCACTGATGAAGAAGAAGCCTGCAATCATGATGAACACCCACACGGCCAGGTTCAGCACGTTGAGCACATTGTTGAAGCCCACAGAATTCTTCACCCCCAGTGCGACAATGATGGTGACGACAATCGCGATCACCAGAGCCAGAAGGTCCGGGTATGACTGCTCTCCTTTCCCTAGAGGGGAAAGACGTGAGTTAATATTGTCTGGGGGGATAAAGACCATGCAGGCTCCCAGGCCCACCCAAGTGCATCTGCACTCAGCTCTGAGAAGGGTGGTCAGTTTGTCATGGAGGGAGACGGAACTCTGTGTGTGTGTGCGGGAACCTCCACTGTGGTCCACAAGTGTCTATTTGCATATGGGAAGGTTTTGGTATATAGGTGAGATGACCTGATATCGTGGACCAAAAATTGGGATGCTTGATATGACAATTACAGCAGTGCCTATGGAACCAAGTCATAGAACATGTCAAGTCAGGACTGTCCTGGGACATTCAGATGCATATATGGGTCTAACACGTTATTTGAACCATTTTATCTTCATTGTTGTTTACTTTATAGTCCATACATTTTCCATTTTATTCCATCAGTCTTCTCTTTATTAGCAAATTTTAAAATAAGTGTCTTTGAAAATTATTGGAAGAAGGGTGTCCTTTCCATGTGTGTGTACATGGTTGCAGAGAAAATCACCAGTGAACGTGCCCCGCCTGCTTGGTCTTGTCTGTTGGTCAGTGGACTCCTGCCCTCTATAGAGTGGAAACCGCACTGCCTCGGCAGTCAGCCTCCTGTGTTTCAGCTGGACCCTTGCCTCTAACCAGCTGTGTGGCCTTGGGCCAGTGCCTCCTTTCTCTGGATGTCATCTGTAAAGTGAAAGAGTTCAGCTACCTGATTTTGGAGGACCCTTTCAGACCTGAAATCCTGTGAAATCAGTATACTGAGAAAATGTGGTCTTTGTATTTTTTATCTTCTCATGATATCTGGGTGCTCAACATTTCAGTCAATTCTTCTGAGATAGGGACACCAGTCAAGTGACTTGCACACAGCCACTGAATTAGTCCCTGGAAGTTCTGGGGAAGACCCCAGAGTTTCCTTATCTACTGTGTAGCTTCCCATGAATGTAAAGGGATAGTCATCAGGATGGAAGGTGGGTGGCAGACCTGAAGCCTCAAGGTATTTGTTATGTGAGCTTCTGATTGTTTGGTATTCACTCATTTTGTTTCTTTTAAAAATATACTTTCTCATTCAAAAATTAATGTGTGCTTGTTTTTGAACAATTTAAAAAATCTTCTGATGAAACCACTGGAGAAGTTCCTTACAGTTCTTTTTTCTCCATTAGTTTTATTTTTATATAGTTATTAACGTGATGCACATACAGTTTGTATCCTTTGTCATACAGCATTACATCTAAAACATACTCCATGTTTTTTTTTTGAAAAAATGTTCAAGCATTTTTATTTATTTATTGTCATATTATTTTAGGGTTTTTTTTTTCTGGCCGGGGTGGGGAAGGTAATTAGGTTTATTTATTTTTAATGAAGGTACTGGGGATTGAACCCAGGACCTTGTGCATGCTAAGCATGTGCTCTACCACTTGAGCTATACCCTTCCCCCCATACTCCATGTTTTTACAACAGTCTTCCTGGTCATCCTTTTAGTTGCTGGCTACATAACACACTACCATAATTTACTTAATTGTTTGCTCCACTGTAGAATACTTAAGCTGTTTCTGATTTTTTTTGTTATTATAAATAAGGCTGGGATGCACATCTTTTCATATAAAGCTTTTATGGGAATTAAGTTGATTTCCTTAGGATAGATTTATAGGGGAAGAACACTTGGCAAAAAAAAAAAAGGTATTTAAGGCCCTGCACACATTTTGCCAGATTGCACCCTGAAGGAGGACCCCATTTATTTGGCTAAGTTCGCACGTTGGGGTTAGAGGATGTGGCAGTCTCACCCAGGCCGTTGAGGGTTCCCACACTGTCCACCATCCAGTGGCTGATGGTGTGGTTGGTCAGGGAGTCAAACATGCTGCTCAGAGCACTGGCGCCTGCCGCAGTGCCAATCAGGTACTCCAGGATGAGGTTCCAGCCAATGAAGAATGCCACGAATTCCCCCACAGTGACGTAGCTGTAGGTGTAGGCCGACCCGGTGGTCTTGGGGACGCGGACTCCGAACTCTGCATAGCAGACGCCTGCATGGGACAAACACACATGGATGATGGATTTCCGGAGAGGAGCCAACCTTTGGTGGTTAACCATCTTGGGTAGAAAATACTGGAAATCTCTGGATCTTGGAACAAATACACAAAGTTTATGTATATGAATCAATTCAAAATCAGTTCTAATGTTTTCCAGTTTCACTTCTGAAAACCTTTTTAACCTGAATGCCAGAACTAATTCTAAGAAACTGTCAGAAACTGATCTTCTTCATTAGAAAAACTCCCATTTACTGGCTGTGTCTCTGTCATTGCTCCTTAGTGTCAGCTATCCTGAGTGAACATGGGTCTAACTCATTGTGACCCCCACAGTTGATGGCACCAGGGTTAGGTCATGTGTAGCACTCTTCTCTTTCATTTTTACATATTGCAGAGGCTGCTTCTCATTTGAGAGTGATACCTCAAGCAATTTTTGAAAATCCTGTAGTATATCTGGGGAGGGGATAATCAAAATGCAAATATAAATCAATGCCTAGTTATTAACTAGGAAATTTAGCACATGAAAAATGTAATTTAGTGAATACTTTTAGAGTGCCTACTATGTGCTTGGCATGGTGCTAATCGGTGGGAATTAAAGACAAGTGAGGCATGGCCCTGCCCTCCAGGGGATGTGTACCAGACTGTGTGAGCTCAGCAATGCAGTGATGTACAGGAACAAAGAGAGCAGAGTTGAGACATGTACATCGGTTGGCTTTCAGGTCTATGGAGGAATTAATTGCGCACAGAAAGTGGAACATGAGGCAAAGAAATGGCGGGGAGAGACAGTATGTTTTGGGTGGTGCGAGATGTGCATGGGGAGACTGGGGGGCGGCGAGGCTGGAGAGGCAAGCAGAAGCCATGTGTTTTCTAAAGTGGGTTAGGTTAGGGCCCACTTCCACCAGAATCATCTGTTGAATTGTAATTATAGGAGGTAGAGACCAGGAGTCTGCATTGTAACAAGCTCCCCACTTGTATCAGTGAAAAATAATGATATATTGCTTCATTTTTTTTTTGTTTTATAGAATTAGAGACCAAATTAGAAAGAGACTGGGAATACACCAAACTTCAGGAAGTTGGAAGAGTATTCTACGTTGTACTAGGAGCTCTGAATTTGGGGGCAGAGGGTGGGGTACCAATTGGGAGGACAGACATAAGACAACTTGGAGGAAACACACCAGGAAAGGGTTGTAGGAGGATGTAGAGGGGAACTCAAAGTCAACTTTACCTTCAGTCCTAGTTTTGTTAAGGGCCAACCCTGAGGTTCTCTCATCACAAATCAGGGAACAATGGTTCACTCTTTTGTGACTAAAGGGAACAGTTTTCTTTTCCTTTTGAAAGGAGTGAAATCAGTGCAAGGAAGCAAAAACAGAGATGTCAACAGCAATGACACAGCGGGTGACTAAATGTGATGCAGTTACTCTTTTCCTTTCCCTCGGTGGCATCCGTGTCAGGGTGTCCATATGGAAGGAGCACTGGACCAGCTGGGCAGCGCTCTCTTCTCAATTCTACCTCTCTTCCTTGAACCTGTGTACCCTGTTACGTTGCTTCCTTCTTTGTAAAGTAAAGGAGTTAGGCCGGGACGCTTTCTTAAGGGTCTCCTACCCTGACAATCTAGGATTCTATTGTTATATTGAATTTTGCTACAAAATATATTGAGCATAATTTACTTTTCTTTTACATTCATGACTATATTTTTCTGTATCCTGGAGATGCTCTCAAGGCTAGCAAAGCTGTTAGTCCCTACTTTGAATGGCCTAGGCTGCTGTTTATTTTGAGTTTCTATGTCAGCCCCCTTCCCTCCACTTTGTAAAATGGTTTTCTATCTCCTTCATGGAGGACAGACTGTCAGTTGTTTCTTCTTGTTGCTGTCACAGTCCAAGCTCCTCCTTTTCTAAATCGCTGCTTCTAGCACCTGATGTTTAAGTGGTTAGAGTGAGTCTAAAATTAAGAGGAAGTGGTCTCAGAAGGAAGGCCTGAGGGGAGGAACTCCTCCATGAGGGAAGTACAGAGTGTGTAAACGCTGAGTGTGAGGACCTGGTGACATTTTCTTGGAAGCTTAGGGGACATGTGTGTTCTCTGCTCCTGAAGAGCATTGAATTTGCATGTACAGAGTAGGTTTCTCTTTAAGTGCAGTGTGAGGAGTGGATTAGGGGGCAAGTAACTTATCCTTGTCAGTGTAGGATTTACAGCTTTACCCAGTAATTCTTTTCTTTTTAAAGTTGAAGCACAGTCAATTACAATGTGTCAATTTCTGGCATACAGAACAATGTCTCAGTCATGCATATACATACATATATTCGTTTTCATATTTTTTTATACCCAATAATTCTTATATACTATGACTTCTCTTCTCCATCCTTCTTTACCACCTGACAACGTGCAAGGCTTATACATAGAATTTTTCCAAGCAAAGCTTTTGAAATGGGCATTGATTTGACTGCTGATTTAATTTGGAGAATCAGCATTGTTGAATTTGGGTAATCAAACATTCTCTCCTTGATCTTTGATCTGCCAAATTAAATTTAAAAACACCCAATTCACCATCGGAACCCTTTCACCAAAGGTAATTAGCAGATTGCCAAATCCTCCTTAGGTCTTGTGAAGGGACCAGCCCCTTGCTGTCCTAAGTTGGAGGAAGAGGCCCTGTGCTGTGCACAGTGCAGGTGCACGTAGAATCTTAGTTGTTCATTTTCCAAAAACCTGCTTGGTTCCTGATGACTGGAGTCTGGGGAGAATAGTGGAAAAAACCAATTAGCCTCTAAGCATATAGGACAATTTCTGCTCCCAGAAGTCAATTCTTTGGGGCACATTCTGATTTTGAACATATTATAGTGTAAGAGATTTTATTTTGGCATCCTGATTTATCTGTATGCAAGAATCCAAGCTTTTAGTGGGCACTAGAGAGTATCCAGCCTGGTGCTAAAGCTCAGTGGTGAGGAGTCAGTGATTTTAACTGCAGGTGTCCTGGAAAAGCCTGGAAAATGTTGTCAGTCATTCAGTTTTTATTTCAAAATATCTCGTGTATAAGAGAGATACATTTCAAGGGTATCTTTCTAATTGTAGTAAGAAATGAAAACCACGGAAAGGGTTTTTATATGGTTTTTATTTAGATTATGTGGTAACGGATAATCCAAAGGCAACTTACTTGCCTCACATGGGTAAAAGAAGGGGCAGCTAGACGAGCCTCAGGATCCCTTCTAGTGCTCAGGTTCTTTGGTTTCACAGCTAGAATCAACTTGTAATCATCTGGGTCAATGGGAGAAGTCCTGAAGAAAATACTGCAAGCCAGCTGTCTCAGCTAAGGTGGCACTGTCTCCGAGGGGGAATTTTGGAAGTCTGTGAGGGTGTCTGTGGTTCTTATGATTATCGTGGGCACTCGTGGCATTAAATGGGCAGGTGCCTGGGCTGTTAGACATTCTGTCATGTGTGGGGCCGTCCCACAGAACAAGGCACCGTCTTGTGTCTTACATGATTCTGAAGGTCCCAGTGGACTTTCATGTAAGTCAAAACCTGTTTGTAACTTTTGAGCTTGAATCTGTCTTCATCTTACATATTAATACTAAGCACTTTTATTTGGCATGGCTTTATATACATTGAATTTTCCAGGCTGCGATAACTGGGTGAATTTAGGGACAGTTGTAATTTGTTTTGTTTGGAATTTGCCAGGAGTTGGTCACCATTTGGGAAAACCACATCATCAATGGCTCAAGACATGGTCTTTGAGCACCAAACAGCACGCCTGCGTGAGTGTGCGTTTGTAGCAATTGCATTCGAAGTGGTTCTATAAATGACAGCAGGCAACCAATGATTTCAGTATGTCCCCTAATGTCCTTATGACCCCGCATTCACACATTGAGATACTATTTTTGTTAGAAATTACTTTTCTTTCATTTATCTTCCCTACAAAAGGCATAATGATTTTTTTAAAAGTTAAGTATGTAGGAAGGTACCATTATCTCTAGTTTGCATTGCAGAATAGAAAAAAAGAATTGCAGAGTACTTATTATCTAAAGTTGATTTGGTGTACTGGGATAGAGAATCACTATTCTAAATGAGAGATAGTTCATGAATAATCTCTATTCAATTTAGTAATGCATTTAAAAATTTCTTGCCCCAGAGTTACCTTCCTAATCATATTTGCCTTATGCTATTATCAAAGTGATTTTGCATTCCTTGGCTGTTCATCAAGTGATTCGAGAGGGAAAGGCGTATTGATTCCAAAAGAATAACCATGTAGCTGGAGAAAATCAATACAGAGAACAACGTCGGGGAACAGATGACCGTGAACGAGTGACTGCATGCTGCAGACAGCATGATGGAAGTCTTTCCATTAGAGTTGTTCAAAGGTGGCAAGTCTAGGTCTCTGAGAAATTGGGGGATTCATTTCAGCAGGATTAGAGAGAGTGGGACTGATTCCTCATAGCCTGCAACTCAGATATCCTTTTCAGTGTCCACATTTTAAATATAAACATACATCTGGTTTTATTTTTTAATATCTCTGTTGTTTTGTTTTATTTCTATACCTAGAACTAGTTTTGGTTAAATTGACTAATTACCAGCCTAAAAATTAGCCCAACTTAGGATTTACACGTTGAAAAGAAGGTTGGGACAAGACACTAGAACATTCCATATTTGAAACACTACCAGTCCCCTTATGTGTACCCCAAATGATGTGTGATCTGAGGTTCAGAAAAATTTGGTTCCTTTCCATGTGAATTTCTTTTTAGCTCAGAGGGCCTATGGCTCTGTCATATATAGATATACTAGGCCAGCCTCTGGTTAGATTCTCCCAGAGTGCTTTCAAACAAGGGTGAACTTTCCAAACTGTGCCTAAGAGAGCATGGCCCAATAGTAAACATAATCACTACATGTTCTTCCCCTTCTAATGTCATCCTGTCACTCACAGCCTGCTCTGGTTCCCTGGTTCCCTCTTAGAACCAGGAGGCGGATTCTTCACCCTAAGAGGGTGTAAAGGAGAAACACCCAGCTGAGAGTAG